GAAGTAGATTTTACGATTCCCACAGGACACCAAATCGATTCCCACCGTGCAAAGAAGGATGTTACGAAAAGGCCCGCTTTTCGTTATTAAATGTAGCACTTTCACGAGACATTCCATATTTTTTTTCACGTCAAAACGCATCGCGCTATGTGCCACTGATTCATATAGCGTAACGACTTCTCGATTGACTGCGATGCCCCACACATTTTCCCGAATTAAACCCAATTTTTTACGCGTTATCACGTCATGTGACGTAATATTAACTAATCGGATTCCTCGCCCGCAAAACTATAAGAAACGATGTCCACTTTACTTTTCACGAGCGCGGCCTTTCGTGACGGCCTTCTTTAAGCACGCGCAAGGCATTTATATCGGAGAGAAACGATTTTCGTTCGTACTCGAGAGCGACCGGGAGGTCGAGACCGTTCGAGTCGCTTCATCTCCTCGTCTAAACACGACTACCTCTGGCCGCGATTTTTACTTCCATACGGAGATCGCGCTGAATGCCGACGTGAGATCGAGCGAACGGCAACGAATGCGCGGTGGAAACGCGGCCCTTTGACAACGCATTTACAATTCTTATTCTGGTACTTGTCGTCGGCTTACGCAGAACCGATCACTCGTGCGCCGCTTTTTGCGTCCCCTCCTCTCTCTCTCCCCCCCCCCCCNCCCCCCCCCCCCCCCTCTTTCTCTCTTTCTCAGCGGTGCTGAGCCGACGGTACCGAGCGCACGCGGAGAGAAACTTTCTTGAAATCCTCGCGCGATGCCGCGCGATCGGCGGGGACGGGATTTGCATTGAATGCAATAACTTATCAAAGCCTGAAAACACGGTGCGGCGGAGCCGTTCGATGCATCTTGATTAATAACGGGGAAGCCACTACCACCGTACGCCAGTTTCCATAGCACGAGCGTGCGATAAATTTACGCTCACGGGAACGGGGAACGGGGGAAAGGGGAGGGGATTCGCGCGACGCGCGCGCGAGTTATCATTCGACGCGCTCCATAAATGAAAATCCGTAACGCGTTCAGCGCGCGCGCCGTGTTGCCCTGACATTTTTCCCTCATTAACTTACCGATTCCAGACGTGGCTGTTGTACGTTTCCTCGCCTTGAACCGCGCGACATCGCGGATCATTAATGCTTCCCGGTTCCGCGACTTATGACTTTGTACGCGACGTCGTGGACGTCGCTCGTACACCTTGCGGAGCACTTAACGCCTGAGATCCTAACGAAGGAGATAAAGAGGCCCCATTAAAGGAAAGACACGCCGCGATAAGTAAGGGACGAGCGTGTCGATCGGGCGTTCAGCCTCGATTACGTTCGCCGAGCATTTCATTATCAGCCTCTTATCCGCTGAAATTCTAAGGACGGATCGCGCGGGGATGAAGCGACACGAGCCGCGTTCCCCCCCCCCCCGGAGACACCTGACATCATCATCACGTAGACTGCGTATTTAGGCTTGCTATTGTAATCCGACGCAGAGGATCTTATCGCGATTCACGTCGGAAAAATCCGACCGCGCGCACGTAAGTGTTACGTATAAATCCATATTTGGCCTCGCGCCTCGACCGAAGTCCGCCCACGAGGCGACTGGCGCCCGCCAGCGCTTCAATAAAGTCGCAATTAATAGCGGACACTTAACGGACCGTTAACGAAGTACCGGTGCGTATTGCCGAGCGGAGTGCTCGCTCGGTGAAAAGTCGATACCACAGCCGGTCGATCGTGGGTAGCTCTCGCGGGAGCGGCCCGGCGCTGAAACGCGCTCGGGTTTCGCGCCGATACCGCCGCTCGAAGTAGGAGTCGCGGTCAGGTACGAGGGATTGTGAGCGTATTATATCGTTAAGATGTAAACGAAGCAAAAATCAGACCGTTATCGCGACCAGCCGAAGAAAGAAAGCTGGGTAGAATAAAAGCGGTCACGGAAGCGAGAGAGAGAGAGAGAGAGGGGAGGGAGGCGTGAGAAGAGCTAAACGAGGAACGATCTGGTGGAGGGGAGCTCGATTAGCGATTTCTAGTGAATAAAAGACTCAGACCCGAAAACTGTCAAGATTTTTCTGGTATTTCGGTTACGATAAAGAGACAGTTACGAGTTGTGCAAATATTCAATGAATTTTGCCGTTGCGGACGTGACATTTGTATTGTTTTTTATCCATGGACAAAGGAAGTTTTCTGCAGGGCGCTCTTGCAGCAGTGGTTAGCCGCGTGAGAATATCTAAAGGATAAGAATACTAGCGAAGGGTCTCGCGCACGATTTCGGCGAGTTTGGAAAATTCCGTAGTCGCGAACTCCTCGGAGACGAGCACTCGGGAATACTTTCTATCCGCGGTCGCTGACTATTTCCCGAGCCCTTACGCTTTTTTCAGTCTTTCAGGTGCAAACGAAAGACGATACCAACAGGTATACAAACGAGGTACAAACAAACTATGTTTGAAGCTTCGTTTTTTGCCCAAGTCGGGCGTCGGGTTCACGTCGGTGCGCGCGGTGCAACGTGCGTGCGTCCCTCTGGAACTGGCAATTACGCTTCGTGCTCGTGTGCGCGCCCGCGTGCACGCGAACGTTTATCGAGCTATCGAGGCTGTGCAAATATCAAGACAAAAATGCTCCAAGGAATGGAAAGGGAGAGAGCAAAAGAGAGAGAGAGAGAGCGAGCGAGAGGTACAGAGAAAGAGAACTAGAGAGCCGCGCGTCTAATTGTAGCCGCACGCGACGAGATACGACGCTGCGTCTTTGACAAACGGCCGAGTTAAGAGAAATAAAGAGTTCCGCAGGGAGGGAAGGGGAATCTCGCGCGTTCTCCTAAGCTCTCGGGTCAATATCGCATGTTCATAATTTTTCCCCCGCTCGCAGGGACCAATGCTCGCGCGCGCGTTGTATGCGTGTCGGGCCCGATGATTTCGCAGGCGGTCCGATGATTCCGCGTTGGCCTCGCGACTGCGTAAGGTAAGATAATTGGTAATTAACGTACGCATATGCAGGCCGTAACAACCGTAGCGCGAGGCAGCGAGCGCAGAACGCGCGCGCAATTCGCGACAGTAAATAATCGGGTGATAGCCGGATAGCTCGGAGAATGAGAGGCGAACAACGGGAATAATAATAATAATAATAATAATAATGCCGTTCTCCCTCTGCCTCTTCGATAGCTCGAATTGGCGGGGCTCTCTGAAATGTACGAACAATATCGCGAGCCTCGGAACATTCGATTCGGGATCGTGAAATATATTCCCTTCTGTATACGTTGCGTCCGTATTAGTTAATTAGTATATCGTGGCTCTGTAAACTTCCTTTAACGCGCGCCTCGCTTTACGGATCGAAGAGATCGAGGACTCGCCGCTGATATTGAAATGCCCAATTAGTTATATCGCATTTTACACGCTATCGTTCGTTCATGCGTGCGAAAAAAAAACGCACGCGAACACGGCAAAGAGGAGGCCGTTGCGCTCGGAAATGCAGGGAAAACATATACGCGAGTCGGAGTTTCAATTCTACGTTAAGTCTTCATTGGATCTTCCATTGTGCTCTTTTGACGGCTACAAATAGAAAGCTATTCCCGTTTTCCCCGCACGAAGACTTAATACGGAATGAAACATTTTCCCCCGGAAGATTGTAAACTCCGTCTTGCATCAAAGGAGCGCTATTAGTCCTTTTTATTAATAGCCTCCTTTGATGCCACGAATAGGAAGTTATTTCCGTCCCCTCCACTTGAGGATTTAACGTAGAACCAAGAAGGCTTAATGCGAGACGCAAATTTCGGCTCGGGGTAACGCGTAACAATGATGGCTTCCGTTGAAACTGAAGGAAGAAAAGTCGCCAAGTCACAAGTGCCGTGAAGGCGAAACAAAGCACGATGATGAGGAAGATGACGCGTCAATTTTCGCGAGCGATACCCGAGAACGTTCGCTCTTCCTCCTCGGGAAAATGGAGCATTACGATCCATAAAGCGTTGCGAGCGCGACGGCGACGTCTACGCGTGATCCTTCCGCACGATAAACCCGGCAGCCCATCTCTCCTTCTGGCGCCTGAAATAGCCAATATCCGAGAGCCCGGATCGGACGATCGCGGCTGTCCCTCGCCCCGCCGATCGCGGGGCTCACAATAATCGGAATAAATATACGGGATCGTCCGGTCGCTATCGTCTAACTAACAATTTCGAGCGTGCAGAAACAACGAACGGCTGTACCTGTGCATTTGCCTTAGGACGATCGAGATTCCTCGGGCGAGGCTCCGTCACCGGGAATTCACTCGGACGTGTTCCAATCGGGCGATGCGGGCGTGGAACCGTGCGGGGATCCGGACGTCGTTTCTCCACCGTGTTAAAGCTAGATCGAGCGGGGGAATCACGCGGGGACTTGGTGGAAAGTACTCGGCGAGTGGGATCGCTCTCGAAATGTTTCTCCCGACGAGTTGGGTGAGGCTGCCGTGTCGCTCGAATTCGAGTGACCTCTCGCTCACTCCGCTCTAAAACGCCGAATGAATGTTTTTCGCTCGGGATCGCAGGGCAAATCCGACGTGTGCCGCGTTGTCGTGCGGGAGCAAATTCCCTCGGATCGATCGAAACGTTCACTCGTGCGGAGTCAAAACCCCACTCTGAGCTTGAATGAAACATGTCCGCTCTTATGGACTCCGAGTGGCCGTGTGTTCACTGCCGCTTCGAAATGAATTCTCGTTGGTTTTCAGTGAGATATCGCTGAAAAAGAGAAAAGAAAAAAAGGCGAATTCAGAGAACGCGTTCCTCGCAAAAACGACGGTTCGTACATGAAGACACTACGTCCGACGCCTCGTCGATACCTCAATCGATCGTACCCGTTCGTCGGCTTAACGTCTATATTAATTCTCGTCGATCACGAATAACACCTCCTTCGGCCGGATTTCCAGCGATGTTGGAATGCGACGGCGTGCTGCTGCGGCGTGTGCGTGCACGCGTGTGCGCGCGCGCGAGTCACGCACGCCGAGGTACCAGGGATCCAGAGACGACTTTCCCATAGAGGCTCGAGAGAAGCCGCCTCCGCCGCTCTCGCGGAGAACTAGTTTGCGCATTTTTTCCGCCGGCTGTTGTGTCTGCGTGCTGGAGGAACGGGTGCGTAGCCGCAGCGCGTAGCGAGGATCCACGCACGCGGCCGGTAGAAGAGAGTGGTAACGACGGCCGAACCGGATCGGGCTGAATCGGATTAATGTGACAAATTTGCGTCGCGGGGAAAGCGCAGTGAGTGGAGCGCGTCGCAGTGACTGCTCCTCGCGGACGGTCGGCAAAATTAGCGGAACGCATCGACGTGAGTTGGGAAACGAGTTTCGGGCATGAAACCTGAATTCACCCTCCGGTCTCCTCCACCGCCGTTATTATTCCAGAATTCCACGTAGGTCTATTAAAATCCCAAGTCTTTTATTCCTCTCTACTATGACTATGTCCTCCCTTTCTCTCTCGCGCATACACGTTTCCAGGATCCGAGAATCCGAGAAATGCATCGCAAAACGAACTTCGCGCACGCTCTCGCGCATTTTTCTTCTTTTTTTTACTTCCCTCAACGTTCGTTACCCACGAGCGCCTAAATGCGCTCGGCGACGGCAAAAGCCGACGGTTCTAAATCAGCGGATAGCGTGCACTCGTGCGTTCGTGCGCGCCGGTCAACGGAGCGCGTGAACACGCGTGCGAACGCGCCAGGTAATCGTGAATAGCGCACATCGCACGGTGCAGAAGTATCCTCTCTGCCCTTTCGTTCGTTCCTTTCTTGTTTCGGCACTTAAATAACCGAATCTTATCCTTTCGTAATCCTCGAGCGACCTTAACGGAAGATTAATACGCGGCTTAGGGTTCATTTACGTAAATATCCATTGAAATATTTATTAAGATATTTTTCAGATATTTTAGGAAATTTTTCATGTAAATTAAAGAATCCCGGAGGAAAAGCTCGATCGAAGAATAATTTTTAAACAACGAAATATGTAAAGGCTGTAATGGTATGTAACTAGAGAACGAATAAGATCGATGTGCGAGTAAGAACAGTTTCGCTAGGCGCGAAATTTTTCACCTCAGTGGGAGGATAAAATTGTTCGATAATGTTACGCACGCGCCATGTTTCTTTCCTGACTTACGAGTGGTACTATTTAGCAACGCACTTTCCACGTCAAACCGACCCTTTTAATACGCCACTAATATTCATATTAATTAATCCCTCGATTCCCCTTATTTAAAACATACTCCAGGCCTTGTGGAAATTTAATCTAAGTGTATGCACGACTCTCTCTCTCTCTCTCTTTCTCTCTTTCTATCTATCTGTCTATCCATCTTATTTGCTTATCGGTATTATTACTTCTGACAATTTTATCCTTCCGCTATCCGCTAAGATTAAAAATGTCACGCGTAACATCTAGCAACGGCCCTTACCTGCCCGTCGGTTTTAATCGATTTCACTGAAATTTTCGTTATTAAAGGATTTACTATAATTTCGTCGGGGGATCGGTGACCGGAAGGGGAAAGGAATTCTGGAAACATGGCACGTCCAGCTTGGCAATGGTAGCAGGACGGTTTGACTGATTGCGGGATAGTCTGCTGAGACCGTAGGACGCGCTCGCGCCATTCGATACGTATTGGCTATAAATCAGTTTAATTCGCGCGCGATTCGATACAATGTTTCGAGCGCACGGGATCGTGCACCGCTCGACGCCTCCTTCGGCGAGTGATCCGCCGGCGTTGCATAGCTTCTTCGGATAGATCGTGAAGGAGGAGGCGAAAGGAGAGGAACACCGGTGAAGGGGGGGTGTAGAGGGAGAATGGGAGAAAGAGAGTAATAGCGCGCAATTACGGTACGCGCGGCGATCGCGTCGATAATCATTCGGAGATGAGATCGCCCGTAAGATGCATCGCGAACTCGGCCGCGGCGCACCGGGAATATTTTATTCGGACGCGAGCCGTGCAATTATTCCCGCGAGAGTATTCGCGCGGTGCATCTCGATGCCCTCGCCGGCCCCTGCGTTCTGGAATTATAGCGAGCCCGGCGTGATGGTACTGTGGACAAATTGAATGCTCCGCGACCCGGCGTATCTCCCCGATTGTTAAGGGCGATTTAACGCTGATGAACTCTCGCAACGGGACTCTCGTGTCGCGGAATATTGAAAAAAATTCCCCACCGCGGCGCTGATTGCGCTGCGGCGCTGAGCGCGCCGCGAGCTCCTCGCCGAGGAGTCTGCGATATCGAAAACGATCGTCGGGAAATCGCTTCCCGGTTGACGTCGCCTGGCGATTAATATTAATATTATCGATATTGTAATTTCCAGCTCGACGGTGTAAACGTAATATAATATTGTGTAAAATAGTTATATAGTTATATTGTTGAGCGGGAAATTACATTACCGCGATGTTACCGTTTCGCCGGGTCACGCGCAAGATATTCTCTCATTTTACACTGTGATCCACGTATAAAGTATCTTGCATTACGTCATCATATATCGTTGTAGATACACTGAGAGATGAATTTGGTCCGATCTACCTGACAATTGGCATCCAAACGCGTTTTGGTTGGGGGAAACGAAATTCCTGATTATACGTGAAGAAAGTAATGCTGGCGCAGCAAATTTTATGTTGTCGCAAACAAAATATGTCGATTACTGATACGAGCAGCAAAGTAATTTGTTAAAAATACTAATTGCTATTTGCTAAATTATTCGGCTGGATCTGAAAAGTAATTCTGCTGTAAGAACAAACGAGTAAATGTACGGAAATCCTATTTTGTTCCAACAACAAATTAAAGTCCCAAGGACAAATTCACTCAGCAGAATATTTTCTATTCTTGCAACAAAACTGTTCCCGCTGTAATTACGAATAATTCGTTATTCTGTTTACGCCAACGAAATTTGATTGCTGTCGCAACGAATGTGCAGTAGGAACGATGGTTTCGCTGTAACAGTCGAATTATTTCTCTCCGTGTGAGAACGAAATTTGCTTCATGAGAGCCGGAAATTTTGGTTTCCTTCAGCCAAAAGACGTTTCATTGCCAGTCAGATCCAACCGAACTTATTTCTCAGTGTACACACAAGCTTTCATTAAACCAAGCTTTTCCGATTCAACGCGTGTAATACACAACGCACCTCTTCTCAGTGGGGAGTCGCTCGACTGATTCGGAAATCGATTCGTCGCTCAACAAAAATCTCATTTCCCGCTTTGGGAAACATGAGCAGACCCCCGGAGAAACCCCGCGCGTAATGAATACGAACGCACGAAACTCGTTGATTGCGAACACGAGCGCAAAGTTTTAAACGGTTTCTCCGTTCGCGAGCGAATTTTATACGCGAGGGAGAAGAGCGTGGCCGCGGCATTATGGCGCGCTGTCGGGCGGTGGGAGCGCGTAGGCAGAAATCAATTCGCGTTCGGCGCACGTTGGCGTACCTAACTTTGACAAATCATTCGGGGATGAGACCGCTATATTACGCGCCACCTCTGCGAAACGCCAAGCTGCGCGGCGCGCTCTGTCGAGAGACACGCGGCTAATTATCACCATATATCAATACCGCCTACCTGTTGTCGCGCTCGGTACCCGATAATCGCGGCGATTCTTTGCGAAGAATCCTCCCTGCAACTCGATTATTGCTCAACAGTCCTCACTGATTCCTCAACCCGAGACCACGAGACCCGAGCCAGGCGCCTTTTTAATTCTCGCATCCGCTTCATATTCAATCTTAAACACGATTAACACATCACCTCTTTTTATCATCCTTTAAAATGGCCATTTCCCGACAGAGACTTCCTTCCTTTGCGCCTTCTTCACGCCATCTTATCGACAAAAACCCCTTCCTATCTCGCTATTCAATTTAAATTTAGATCTCGGCATCACGCTCGCGTGAGATCAAGAGATTCCAATTGCCGGTCTCGAATTGTCGTCAAACCTCCACTATTCAACGCCCCTTCTATACCGCCGCTTCCCCTTGGAACTCACTTCCCTTTCCCGTCCATAAAGCCGTTTCCTCCAACTCCTTCGTTTACAGATTCCACAATCACTTCTTACCTTCCTCACTCTAACAATGAATGTACCGGTATATCAGAATACTGGGGAAACGAATTGGCTACTTTGGTATTTCCATCCTTATATATAGGCTTTCCTTATTTTCTTATCTCTCTATTCAACCCACGAAAATTTATACGAACACTAACTCGGGAAACGCCCATTATTATTTATACGCAACCGACAAAATTAATTTTCTGTCCTTATTATATAATATAATACATTCATCTATCTTCACTCGATATATATTATTATTTGTAAAACTTTCCTATCATCCCGATCGCTCATCTGTATAATTTCTAACATTTCGTTTTTAAAAGACCAGCGCCAAGATAATAACAAATGCTCTCTCTCTCTCTCTCTCTCTTTCCATCAGAAGACTTTCCATTTTTCACCGGCCTCGTCGTTTGAATTAATCGCCGCACGTCCGTCCGTCCGGCTTATCGCGGCCGATTCGCGGCGATAATCAGCGGGGCTCATCATCGCGGACTTCCGCGTGTTCCGCGACGGCGATCCGATCTCTCGGGATCTCCCTCTCGTTTTAACGGCGCGTGAACGGTCCATTCAAGTCAATCGTCCCGCTGCCATCGATCTTCGCCGCGACCGCGGGCGAGCGTATAACGGCTCGCCGGCCGAGAATGAAGGCGGCTCGGCGCGACCGCGATGGACCGCGGGCTAGTAAACTGCTCTTCCCGGCGGGAGCGCAATTAAATGATCGATTTATGGTTCCCGCCAATCGTTACACACCGGATATCTGCCGGGCCGGCTCGCTAATGACGTACCGCCGCGCACCGCCGCGTGCTCACGCTCGCCGGCTTGCTTACGTGGCTATCCGCGCGAGGTACCTGCTAGGTGCTCTCACGCGATATACATAGGAGAGACCGGGGAGAAGCAGCGGGCACCAGCTGCGCATTTATTAACGACCACCACCGAGCTACGTCGCGCACGATGCGCGCATCGGCGGACCGCGAGAGCGTGAACGTGTCTATTGTGCGTAGCGCCGATCACTGCGGAGCGATCGCGGACTCCCGGGGACCTCGGCCGCTTGTGAAGCCTCCACCGCGCGAAAGAAAGCCGTGGAAGTGCGCTTTTATCTCGGCGGTATGGAGGGAGATGTTCCAGCGAGTGATACAATGGGATACGGCGAATTAATCTTGCTAAAGCCGAATCGACCCGGCCTTTCGTAAGTTTCCTCATTTTGTAGAGTCGAGCGCGTTCAAGTCGAGCACTCCGCTATTACGATCGGGAAGAAGTTACAAGTGGAGTTGGTCAGTTCT